GAACTGAGCCCTAAGCTGATCAGACTATGTAGCCCCTTGAACTGTCGAATTGCTCCCAAATCCGTCCTCACTATAAACTGTATTTTTCCAAAGATGAAAGACAGAGTCCCGTTGCTTGGCTTAAAGAACACAGTTTAATCTATCAATTGCAATAATTGCAACAAAATACACATAGGTCAGACTTCCCGACCTCTAAAAGGAGGGATTTCATCACACAAAAGTGATTCTATGCTTCATCCCGAGAGATGCGCTCTGGAATCTCATGTCAATACAACAGGGCACTCTATGAACTACACAAGTATCAAAGTTCTTGATAAAGAGAAACACCTATCCAAACGTTCATTCCTCGAAATGTCCCACATTTACATGAATGACAACTATATGAATAAGAAGACAGATGTTAGGCAACTGAGCGTCATTTACTCATATTTGCTAAACTGCGAAAAGTTGGCGCCCTTACCCATTTCTCCAAATTTTGACTTTTCACAACCATAAATGGAATTTGGTTTTTTGGTCTATTCCACCCTTTACCTAAAAATTTCTATTCCATTCAAATTTTGAATAATTGTTTTTTCTCATAATAAAATAATGACTGTTTAATTCAATTGTCCATCTCATCAACAATATAGTTTGTTCAACTGCCTCTGGTCTGTTGACAAGTTCTTATGTAACATATCTTGATAAATCACAGCATCTAAAGTGATTTGGCAACATAGCACACATTTTACAAAAATGTTCGTTCCATCCATCGACACTGGCACCACCAACCTCTGTCATCTGTCATATGTTTTATCCTACTTATGATCCTGTGGCACACCATTTTGTGCAGCATCAGGTGGTTCACGATGTAATTTTAACTTTCGTTCTAAATCTTTTTTAATACGTTTTGATGTATTCCTGACATACAGCTATGTGTATTTTATGTTAATTTTAACGAATGTACCATGTATCCAGCTTTCACCAGGTTACTAAATGCTTCCCTCAACCCCAACCGTTAGTAACATTTAGCAACAATCTCACATACCAGTGTGAGTAATTATTTTAATTATTTCCCCTCTCCGTCTTTGTTTTCTCAGGTTAAACCCGTATCCGGATATGTGGACATGTGTATCTTCTTTTGTAGTTGCATATGTGCATTCATTTCGGGCCTGATGAAGCCAACCAGCAGAAATACGTATCGCTCGGGTTACTTATCCTATTTACTGCTCAAATCCACTTTCCTTCTTTTTGCGGAGCTTGCCCATTATTTTCCTTTTTTATTATTTACCTTTCTCCGCATGATCATTTTCTCTTTGTAGATCCTTTGGGCTTGAAGTACCACAGCAAGTGGCTATAACCGGCCGCGTGGTTGTGATTAGATGTCGCCTTGAAAATTCGAGGTCTTCTAGCCATTTTATACTACAATGTGTAGGTTGGCTCTTGTTGAGGACTTCGTGTGTGATTTTTTCCCTCTCCATCTTCGTTTCCTCAGATTTCACCCGTATCCGGATGTATGAGCATGTGTATCTACTTTTGTAGTTGCATATGTGCATTCATTTCGGCCTGATGAAGGCAACCAGCAGAGGGAGAGATACCTGTATGATGATTTTCCAATTTATCACAGTTCAACAAGTACATATAAATAATAAATAATAAAGTTGCTTGACATCTGCTTGTTTATGCAACTGTATGTCACAAAGATATGAGACATTTCCAGGATCAACCGTTTTGATAGATGGTTTTCTCTTCGAGGACCTTAATGTAGTATTGACGTATAAAGCCAAAGCACATCTTTCTGGATGCACTCTGGTATCGCTTTTGTATGAGGTTATTCACCTTTTAGTGATCTCGATGTTTAACCTATATAAGTGAGATTGCAGTAAGTGCATTTGGTAGAATAGACAATATATATTAGATAAGCTAAGCAGAGGAACTCTATCTTCCATTTTGGAAAAGAAATTATTAATTGTGAGGGAGGATTTGGAAGCAATGCGACAATTTAAAGTGTTGCACAGTCTAGAAAGTTCTGGCGTTAGGTCCTTGATATACGGAAGGACTGTCTGTCAGGCCGGTACTGGGCATCGCCAATGGGCGCTTCCTGTTGAGTTCGGTGGTGGGGGAACCGAAAAATATGACGGTGTTGCCAGATTTCGCCTTGTGTGACGTGCGGCAAGCTTACAGCGCTGGGAACCCTCGTAAGTGACCGCGATTCCACATTCTTAAGAACGGCATTTAAAGCGGTATTTGCGTTTGTCGATAATTTATATAAATATCTACCCTTCAAATTCTGAGATAATCTATATGAAACTCACATAAGATGCATGATACACCCTGGCATACTTTCAATTTTCGTCAGGAACACATTTATAGAAATGTTTAAAAATAAGATCATATGTAATTTCAAAGGCATCAGAATGGGAAAATCTACCGCCTTCATACGTATCATGCTTGCAATTTCATGTCGAGTTTTCCTGATCATTCATTCTTTTCGCTTCAATTTTGAATTTTGTTTTATTTGAAATATTCCTTATACAATTTGGTATGCTATATAGCCTACTGGAAAGGTATGACATCTTTGAACTATACTTTTTGAGGTTAATGTTCTTGATTCTGTGTCTCGTTTGATATAAGTGATCTAACGAAATAAGATATATATATATATATATATATATATATATACAGGGTGACTTCGAAGTTAAGTCATTTATTTTAACCAACCAGCAGAAATACGTATCGCTCGGGTTACTTATCCTATTTACTGCTCAAATCCACTTTCCTTCTTTTTGCGGAGCTTGCCCATTATTTTCCTTTTTTATTATTTACCTTTCTCCGCATGATCATTTTCTCTTTGTAGATCCTTTGGGCTTGAAGTACCACAGCAAGTGGCTATAACCGGCCGCGTGGTTGTGATTAGATGTCGCCTTGAAAATTCGAGGTCTTCTAGCCATTTTATACTACAATGTGTAGGTTGGCTCTTGTTGTGGACTTCGTGTGTGATTTTTTTCCCTCTCCATCTTCGTTTCCTCAGATTTCACCCGTATCCGGATGTATGAGCATGTGTATCTACTTTTGTAGTTGCATATGTGCATTCATTTCGGCCTGATGAAGGCAACCAGCAGAAATACGTATCGCTCGGATTACCTGTCATATTTTCTGCTCGAATCCACTTTCCTTCTTTTTGTGGATTTTGCCCATTATTTTCCTATTTTTTGTTATACATATATACAGGGTGACTTCGAAGTTGAGTCATTTATTTTAAAAGTGAGTAGATCTGATCAAAAGAAGTGTTTTTTTCCTTTACCATTTTTCTGGTAAAATTAAAGTAACAAAGTTATAGCCCTTTGGAAGTTTGAGTACCGCCCTGTCTCAATAATATCATGTGCTCGTGTTTGGCAACAACGGATATAATCCGCCTTATCGGTTCATCGCATCGGAAATAAAAAAGCGAAGGAATTTGGAACGATGTTTTTACAATTATGTTATTCAGTTCAGTTATACATACAGTCAGTGTCAGTCGCGTGTGAATAGTGTCTGTTGCGTGGCTCAAACGAAATAAAAAATGGCACATGTTTATGCGGATCGGTTTCCCAATCGAGTGCAATCAACCCCTCGTGCCTTTGTTAATGTAGTACAACGGGCTCGTGAATCAGGTGACTTAAGACCTCACAGGGGACCTCACGATCAAATACAGGTCCGCACTGAAATACTTGTCGGGAGGATACTTTATAAAACAAGGTAAAATTTTTTTTTTAATTTTTTTTTATTTTTACACACATATTTTAGTTTATCTTCCTTCTACAATCATTATCTGAAAATTAATGACTCAACTTCAAAGTCACCCTGTATATATATATATATATATATATATATCGAATAGTAGCAATTTATGTCTGCACGAGAAGGTTTCGCAAAGTGAGCTCCGCATAATTTAGCGAAAAAGTAGTGTTTTAGTTTATTAAAAACTGCAAGTTTTAACCCAGAGGTTCCAGTTGTGAAAGCAGCAGAAGGAAATCTGGATAAGTGCGTAAGTTATGAACGTTTATTTTTTCCATTGGCCGTACATAAACGAAGTAAGCTGTCATGCCCAGTTACGCCCACGCTCTGAGAAGGGGTACTTTGGTTCCAAACGACCAAGTCTCGATAGCGATACCATCCAATGATCGTGACACGACCACGAAGAACGTCACAGTGTATTCGACTGACAGCAACACAAAATTGGGTACGCGATCATGGCAGAAAAACCAATTAGTCTCGAGGACATCTACAATTTAATTGCAAACTCCAATACGGAACTCCAGGGTGAAATTGAGCAACGAAATAAGAACATCACAGAAGTAAAAAAAGAGATATAGAACACGAATAATAAATTTAAAGAAATTAAAGAAGAAAATAAAACATTAAAAAGCAAACTGAATGTGCTTGAAGCTAAGTTGAAGAAGTACAACGTAGTTGCGTATGGCATAAATGAGGAAGATAAAGGAGCAGCAGAAGAAGCTAAAGAATTTATCGAACAAAAATTGGAAATTTTCATAGAAGCAACCCAGATAAGAGATTCCCATCGCATAGTTAGAAAAGTAGAGAATCAAAAAAAGCCGCGACCACTTGTTATTGAACTGCTGAACTATAGAACCAAACAAAATATTTTGATAAAATCTAAACAATTACCGAGAGGATCTGGCGTATTTGTCAGCAATGACTACACAAAGAAAGAATACGAAAAAAGAAAAGTCCTACACGCACATTTAAAACAAGCTAGACAAGCAAATAACTATAATACATAAAAAACAACAAATTATATGTGAATGGTGACGCCTATTCGTATGAAGCACTACAACAGGACGAGTTACCAGAGACATTTACAGTAGGAACTATATCGAAATCCGAAACAGCCCAAAGATCCACAAACAAAAATAGCGAGACCAAAAGAGGGGAAAAGAGATCTGCTGAAGAAGCTTCTTCAGGAAAGTCAAAAATCTTAGTAATTCATCAAGGCCCTAAATTAAGAAGCAATTCTAGGCCATAATGGACTCATACATTCGCGATTTTCGAATAGAAAAGATTAGTACTAAAGATGTAACATCTATAGATGAGTGCAATAGCACTTTGAATTCAGAATGTAACATGTGTTATTGCACCTAAATATTAGGAGTATATATAGAAATTTCGACGAATTCAAAGTGCTACTGCATGGAATCAAAAAAACATTCGACTGTATGGTTTTGTCAGAATGCTGGAAACTTGAAGATATTTCACTATATCAACTGGAAAATTATAACATATACTATAATGATGGTGCTTATATCAACAAAAACGTTGAGGTGACCGAGAATACAATAATACAACTTTTTAACATAAACATAAAGATTTTGCAGCTTTCTATGAAAAAATGTAAAAACCTGATACTTGTTTCAGCTATTTACAGACCACCGTCAACAGACGCATTGTCATTTCTCAGTGACTTGGAGCCATACCTTGAATTTTGTAACAAAAGGCGCTGCATCCATCTACTGGCGGGTGACATAAACATAAATATAATGGAAAAGTCTGAGTTATCGGAAAAGTACTTGAATACCTTAGCCTTGTATAACCTTCGTCCAGCAATAAATGACTACACAAGAGTGGATGGTCGCGCGAAGTCTTGTATTGATCGCATATTCGCTAGCACTCCTTCTGATAATGGTCACATAGATTCTGTAATACTTCAAAACCATATAACAGATCACTTTACAACTATACTAGAGATAATTTTCCCCAAGATCATTACCAAAAATATAAACACAAATTGTGTATATAGAACAAATGAAACCAAATTACTTGAACTTCTGAATTATCAAACTTGGACACCAATTGAACTTCTGAATTATCAAACTTGGACACCAATATAAGTTATGGAATCCTGTTGGTAACATAACTATGTGGTACAAGCCCATTATTCCAACAAATTGAATTGTATGGCATGCAAGCCCATTAAGAAATATTTGCTTTTTACTTCTTTTTTTCGATACAGCTCTGTTATTTTTCCTATAAAGATTAGAATTATATCGAGGCACAGACAGATTTTGTGCAATACTTGTAACCACTCTTCGTTCCTGCAATAAAGTCTGTTATTTTTTTACCATACGACGTGTGCATTCTTTATTTGGCGCTATGAACAGGATCGTTATACGCCTTCGTGGAAAACATCTGGAAGTTTGTACGAGCCCAGCCAACCATCAGTAAAATCTTCGAGATTCATCAGGTGAGCTGAACTACGTCCCTTCTGTGTGACCAACCATTGTGAGGTAGGAAGTATCCACTTCCGTAAGCGAAACGATCAGAGAACCTGAGAGCCACGTCCGAGGTCCCTGCAGAACGAGCCTAGAGAAACAGAGAGCTACAAGAACCAGAGCAGTCTCCGTTATGAAAAATTTGATTTTTCACATAACGCTAGAGTAAGCCAAATCCATTTTATCTATTTAGTCAAAGAAACTTTTGGTAAATCTCCAGTACGAGAACAATCACCCATTAGAAGACAACCAGTAAAAAACCAAGCTAACGTTAGAGAGGAATTCAGAACAACCATGGCTGACAAACCACAAATGTTATTTAGCCTATTGAAAGATAGTGTGCCTATTTTTTCTGAAACATCAAATAATTTATCTGTATATTTACGTAAATCTAGAGAATTTGTTGCCGCTTTGCATGGCCCATATCAAATTCATGCTTTATCGTACGTAAAATCCAAACTACAAGGAGAACCTTCTGTTATCGTTGAACGAAATAATCCTCAAACTTGGCAAGAATTTGAAGAAATTCTCAAAGAACGTTACAAAGATTCAAAATCCGAATTAATGCTACTTGATGAACTTAGAAATTTATCCCAGTACACAGACTATATGAATTTTCATACTGAAATTTTGCAAAAATTACATATTCTTAGAGAATATGCTCTTTTGTAATTTTCTGATGTAGTTGCTCAATCTAGAGTCGACCTTTACACAGAAGCTGCATTAAATTCATTTGTAACTGGTATTAAAGAACCATATAAATCACTCCTATTTAACGCAACACCTACAACTCTTCAAGCTGCCTTACAAATTTGTCGAAAATACTATAATTTACAAATACAATCGCAATGCAAAGTATTTACTAAACAAAATGCTAAAAATACTAACGCCATTCAAAAACCGGAACCTACAAATACCGTTCAAAATACACCTATGGGGCGATTCCCTTCAAACCAACAATTTTACAATCCGCAGTTTTACCAACAGCGACAACGATCTAACTTCCCAACTGGCCCGATTAACATCAGACCAAATTATTTTAATAATCAATTTCAAAGACAAATTCAACCACGACAGCCTAATTTCTATCCACAAAATAGACAAGGTCCACCAAAAAACTTTAAACCGACACCCATGTCTACATCAACTATTACGAACCGCCCCTCGCAACAACAGAATCAATACCGTCCTAAATTTTTCTCAAATCACGGACAAAGACCAAATTTTATCGCTGAAGAACTAACCAACACCGAAGCGACCGAACAATCACAAAACGAACAAGAATACGATGAACAGCAATACTATGATCCAAATTATGAAAATTATGACCAACAAGAATATGAAAATTGAGATAGTAACCCTACTGTCGAGTTTCCCCCTGAAGAGACAACTCAAAATTTTCCGAAAGCCCCAAATCAAAACTCATTGACTTAGATCTTAATAATTATGAGAACACACATTTGCCATACATTTATTTACAAAATTTAGATTTGCTAGTTCTTATAGACACTGGTGCATCGGTCTCTTTGATCAACACTCAAATTGCTTTCAATTATTTTCCAGATTACATTTATCCAAAACACTTTTCAATAAAATCTGTCATTGGTACTAAACACGGTGAATACGCTTTGCGAATTCCTTTGTACAAAAATTTCAAGCTACTTTACAAACATCTAAGAATTTGCTGTCCATTGATCGTTTAAACTTTATTTGCCACACTGACAAAATACCACGTAAAGTCCCGAACACTGTAATCAAAAATCAAGTTCTAAAATCCCCTATCAAAAATGGACAAATTATCGTTCCACCTATTAAATATCTAAATTCTAACGATTACACACCCGAAATGATTTGTACCGTTAATAATTACGAAGTACTATACCCAGAAAATCCAAATCTATTAGATTTAAACTATCAATGCATCAAATACGACAATTTGGATAATTACGACATTGAAACACCCCAGAATGAATATAATTTAACTGATATTGGAACTTTAATAAGAACTGATCACATGAATGACGAGGAAAAATACAAGATAACAGAACTTTGTAGAAAATTTCCTGAAGCTTTTCTAAAACCTAACCAAAAATTAGAGCCATGTACCGTAACATCTCATTCTATCAGAACAAAACACGACGACCCAATATTTGTAAAATCTTTTCGCTATCTAGTCTATTTAAAAACCGAAATTCAGAAACAAGTCGCTAAACTTTTGCGAGATGACATCATCCGTCCCAGTACAAGTCCGTACTCATCACCTGTATGGATCATAAATAAGAAGCCTGACGCTTCCGGCGTTAAAAAATATCGAATGGTAATCGATTTTCGTAAACTAAATGACATTACTATCGAAGATAAATATCCTTTGCCCCGAACTGAAGAAATATTAGAGAGTTTAGGCAAAGCCAAATATTTTTCAACGTTTGATCTGGCACAAGGATTCCATCAGATTCCTATGCACAAAGACTCAATTGAAAAGACTGCCTTCACCGTCGACAACGGGCACTATGAATACTTACGAATGCCCTTCGGACTGAAAAACGCTCCAGCAACATTCCAAAGAATGATGAATTTTGTTTTAAAACCTTACATCGGAAAAATATGTTTCGTCTATTCAGATGACATAATAATTTTCTCGAAATCATTGCAAGACCACCTTATTCATTTGAAATCTATATTTCAAGCTTTAATTAAACATCAATTGAAAATACAACTTGACAAAACAGGGTTCCTAAGAACAGACGTTCCATTTCTGGGACATGTAATAACGCCAAACGGAATTAAACCAAATCCGGATAAAATCAGATGCATTCAAGATTTTCCAATACCAAAAACTATCAAACAAATTCAATCATTTTTAGGATTAACCAACTAATACAAAAAATTCATTAAAGACTTTGCCAAAATTACCAAACCTTTCACTAAATGTTTAAAGAAAGACGAGAAAATCGACATTTCAGATCCTGATTACATTCAAGCGTTTGATGTAATAAGAAAGAATATCACTAATCCACCCATACTCCAATATCCTGATTTTTCAAAAACGTTCACATTAATAACCGACGCCTCAAATATTGCGATAGGAAGTGTTCTATCACAAGACGGAAGACCTATCAGTTTTCATTCAAGAACATTAAACTCTGCTGAACGAAATTATTCCACCATTGAAAAAGAACTCTTAGCCATTATTGATTCATGCAAATGGACATAAATTTCTGATTGAGACTGATCATAAACCTTTGGTGTGGTTATCAAATTTGAAAGAACTAAACCAGAGATTAATTAGATGGAAAATCAAACTTGAGGAATACGATTTAGAAATCAAATACAAAAAAGGCAAATCAAATTTAGTTGCTGACGCCTTGAGCCGAATCCAGATAAATGTTCAGGATTATCTCGAAACCGAATCAATGATCCCTAACGCACCCGAATCAGAAATGACTATTCACGAAACAGACAACAGATCAACTAACACGAGACACACTTCGCCTGAATCAAACCCAAACTCGATTAAATTTTCAGACAAAAACTTGTATGCCTATCCTGACCGAATTGAATGTATAACAGGTAAAAAGAAAAACAAGATCAAATTACTTCCCAATAAGACACTAAGGTGCTCTTTAATTAATCACTTATGTTCCTCATTTATTTTGGATTGTATAAAAAATTATTGTACCCCTGGTATTAAATACGGAATTTGGTACGACGATCAGAAACTTTTGCCCATACTTAGTAAAATTATGACACAATCTTTTTTCTGCAAAACATATTGTACTAGAAAAAGCTGCATTTAAACCAATTTATTTAGACAAACAAGAAATGAAAGACGAAATGACTTTGTACCATCATAAATTTCACAAGGGAATTAATGAAACTTATTCTCACTTCCAAAAGACTCACTATCCACCAAAACTTAAAGACCTTATAACTGACATCATTAATAAATGCGAAATCTGTTTAAAAGCTAAATACGAACGAAAACCTTACAAAGAACCAATCCAAGGCCCATTTTTCAGATCCAGATAGCATAGTTTCTGTTACACAAAATATGGCTTTTCAAATGAAATTCTTCGAGCAAATCGCACATCAAATAAATTTAAATTCAAATTAATCATTTGAGCGTCCTATCCATTCTTTCATTAAATCATAGGGAAATAAATATCTTCATTGAACATTTGCAAACTTTATACCATAAAGATCATCTGTTAGATTTTGAAACAATGCACCCTTTTGAGATACTGAATCTTTGCGAACTATCAATTGTAACTTTGCGAAATGAATCATATTCGTAATTCATGTACCTCTTCTTGACCGTAAAAACTTACAGTGTTTTTGAATTGTATCCGTTAATTATAAGGAATGAATTAATAAAGATCCCAAGCAATTTTACTTTGTAATTTGAAGAAGAAAGGTTTTGCTCCAATTTAATCAAACTAAGTAACAATCCGCATTTATGTTTTTAATTACTGAACAGGCACATGTAAGCCATCTATGTTGTAAAATTGTCCTCATATTCACTTAAAATACTATTAATACTAATATTTCAATTGATATTAAAGACTGCAAGCAGATTGAATTATCATTGCCTTTACTTGAAAGTAATTTTAGCTTTTTAAATCCTTCTTATTACCAAAATGATTTGGAAATAATAGTTCATACTAAATTGCAAAACCTTTCTTACGACTCTTACAGCTTTGGAACTACATTGTAACTGTAAATTAAATTTTCTCTAAGTTGGAGACCAACTTTTAGTAGGAGGGAGGAGTTATGGAATCCTGTTGGTAACATAACTATGTGGTACAAGCCCATTATTCCAACAAATTGAATTGTACGGCAAGCAAGCCCATTGAGAAATATTTGCTTTTTACTTCTTTTTTTCGATACAGCTCTGTTATTTTTCCTATAAAGATTAGAATTATATCGAGGCACAGACAGATTTTGTTCAATACTTGTAATCACTCTTCGTTCCTGCAATAAAGTCTGTTATTTTTTTACCATACGATGTGTGCATTCTTTATCTTATATAATTCGATCAACACGCACAAAGCTACTGAATATTCCATACAAATATTGAACGAAAATATCACTAAATGTACGTATAAATTAAAACTCAAAAAAGCAAGAAAAACATGGATAACTAGCGCTTTGGTGAACTCTGTAAATAAGAAAAACAAGCTATACCATGAAATGATAAAAAAACCCAACGGAAATAAATGTAAAAAGATTTAAGGATTACAGAAACTTATTAAACAACTTATTAAAAATAAGAAAAAAGGAATACTACGACAGCAAAATCAAGGAAACCAATAACAGTAGTAAGATGTTATGGGATTGTGTAAATGAGATTTCCTGTAAAAGGAATAAAAAGGCAGGAATAGATAAGATAAAAATCGAAAGTGGGGAAGAAATATCCAATAAAAAGGATATTGCACAGGACTTTTTGGAACACTTCACAAGCATTGGTGAAAAACTGGCAGAGAAGGTACCATGCACTGCTCCTATCAAACCAGTAAATAATCTTATCAACTCAATTTATTTAGACGATACGGATGAAAATGAAGTGAGGGAGACTATACTAAGCTTAAAAAATGGCTCCTGGAAAGCGATAACATAAAAGCCGAAATTCTGAAAAAAATACGATATTATGTATGCAAACCTTTAAAATATATTATAAATGAATGTTTTCGTACAGGAGTATTTCCCGATATTTTAAAGATAGCCACAATAACACCTATCTACAAAAAAGGTAGCAAACTTGACATAGAAAATTATAGACCAATATCTCTGATTTCGAGTATCGCCAAAGTTGTAGAAAAAATAATAAAGTCCAGGTTACTAAAGTTTTTCAATAGGTATAACGTGTTACATAAAAATCAATTTGAATTCAAAGAAGGCATATCAACGCAAGACGCAATAGCTACACTATCCAAAAAACTGTACAGACTAGTTAACGATAAAATCCCTACTATTTGCATATTTATAGACTCGACCAAAGCTTTCGACACCGTTAGTCATCACAAGCTGTTGGAAATACTCGAGCTTAGCGGTATAAGGGGAACTACTTTAGATTTAATGTCGAGCTACCTAAATAAGAGAAAGCAGTGTGTGAAAATAGATATCGTGACCAGTCGTTATAAAGACGTATGCTGTGGGATCCCACAAGGACCTGTTCTTGGGCCAATATTATTTAATATAATATGTATATATATATATATATATATATTAATGAGTTGTTCTCAATGGATGCGGGAGGTACAGTGTTAGGATTCGCGGACGATACTGTCACAATTTATGAGGACTCAAGTTGGCCCGCACTTAAAAGTAAAATCGAAAATAATTTTACTAACGTACTAGCATATTTCAACGCTAAGCTACTCACAGTTAACTCTGAGAACACTAGTTTTGTATCTTTCGCATTCCATATACCACAATATAACGAAATAAATGTCAGAATAGGAAACAATACGACAGCCATTAAACGTCAAAGCAGCACTAAATATCTGGGAATATTTATATATATATATATATATATATATATATATATATATATATATGTATATTGATCAAAATCTCAGATGGGATGTTCAAATCGAATATGTGACAAAGAAAATAGAGATGCCTCATTCCAAAATTCAAATGTCATAGAAACATCCTTAATACTGATTGCATGAGAAGCTTATACTTCGCTCTTGTGCAGTCACATCTTTGCTATGGAATACTTGGCTGGGGAGGAGCTAGCTTCACCTACATAAAGAGGTTGGAGGTTGCCCAAAAATATTTATTAAAAGTTCTTTATAGCAAGAGCAAAACTCATCCATCTGATGAGCTATACCATTAGTCTGGAATGATGGACATTAGGCAAACCTTTATTTATAATTGCATGGTATACTACTTTAAAAATAAATCATGTCATGAGGAAATCGTTCACAAATATGACACCCGCCAGAAAGCTGCTAGGCACATAATGGTACCTAGGCCGGAAAAATCATTATTGCAACGCTCCTGGATTTATCTTTGCCACAAATTGTACAACGAAATGCCTGATGATTATGAGTTAATACGAGACATTGCTTTATTCAAGAAAAAATCTCAGTATGGGTGAAAGGTATACCCATACTGATTATATAGAAGGCAAAACACTATATATGTCACTTTCACAACCCAAATGAAGTCACCGTTCTTAGAATCATTGCTCCATTCTATTTTAATTTAATTTAATTTTATCCTATTCTATGCTTGATATATCCTTGTCTTTATTGCTCACAACATAAATGAAACTACCAGTTTTGTAATGTCATTTTAGTTTTTATTGTCCTTTACCATAGATGTACTCTTTTTTTATTGTTTGGCCTTTTGATTTATGTTATTTATTATTGAATTTAGTTAAAGTGCCACAGTGTCAGTTCAAAGTTTTGGCGTTTCTACCAGTGATCGTGTAACACCAAATTATGTCAGTGCGTGCGTTAGAAGTCTGCATTAGCAAGTACTTGATAGACTTTATTTATATCTGCGGATAGACAACTGACATTAATAGGATGACCACACACAAGATTTTTCTTTCGTGGCAGTACTTTTATTTGTCATTGATACTCCTTTGTGGCAACAGTCTTTGAAATTCATATTTGCATAATTCTATTTGACAAATAAATTGTTATTATTATTATATTATATACATATATGTATATATATATATATATGTAAAAAAATAAAGCTTCCGCCTTTATATACAATGTGTTTGGTCACGACATACCAATATTTGAGAGGGATATTTTTCAGCTATTTTTATCGACAAATCCACCCCCTACAATGTCATACCTCACTCCCCTTGAAATGGATCCATACCGCTGCGAACGAAATTAGGGCTGACACGGAGATGATCTACCGCTCAACACGACACATTGTTTTAAGAACAGCAATGTTCATAAGCAACAATGGAGGACATTTTGAACAGCTTCTGTAGCATTAAACATTTCCAAACTCTCTATAAGAAGCAATGATTTGTCATTTTTATGTATTCAAAGTTTGAAAAAATGTGCATTTTATTACACCCATTTTGACCCATGTTAGACAGCATTTATTGCTTAACGTAGAATATTTAGGATAACAAAAAGCTGTAGAATTAGTACAATAAAAGTACAACTTCACAGACTAGTTTGTGAATGGTGTGCGGAAATGCACAAAATAATCAATTATCTTCCACATTTTTTCTGTTTTTATGTATGTTTGACGATTAGTATTAAAACAAGTTTTTCAATAATTGCTAGGACATATCATCGTTCAAATGAAACCAAATTTATCATTCTGTGACAATTACGTGCTCAGTTATTACAATTTTTATACATGCACTACCGTAATCGTAACGTAAAAATAAAAATGGCTGCCATTTCAAGGGGGATGAGGTAGGACATTGTAGGGGGTTTGGATTTGTCGATGAAAATAGCTGAAAAATACCCCTCTTACATATCGGTATGTCGTGACCAAACACATTGTATATATATATATATGTGTGTGTGTGTTAGCGAAATAATGTTCGTAACTTCAAGAGGTGTTTCCTTGCGTTATTCTAAACAAAAAAGTCCATTATAACCAATGTCCAAAAATCAACCGTTTCGGAGTAAAAAAATGCTGAACTTTTTAGTCACGAAATAAATTAATTTTGCACCTTAATAATTTAAATCCATATGCCTAATAGCGTAAAATGTATCAGTACATCTTTTTATCAATTAACTGTCTCTAACAAGATAATTTTCTTGCTTATTAAATACAATTTTCCCAAGAAAAACAAACAAATCAAAATCCCTCACACAACTGGCAACGCTGTACTCCGTCTGCACTGCATGTACCTATATCCTCGCATGTTGTTTTGAATTTAACTATAACTTTATGTGATCTAACGATATTGTTTTTTTTCTTTATTCGACAGTCTATGCCCTCAACATCAGGAGCTAAAAACAAAATTTTGGAAAGTAGCAACAATAAACAATTGATGAGGAGTATCATTACTTACTAAGTCGGCGAGATTGCTGAAATTGTTCTTAGGCGAAGTAGAAGAGGACACATAGTCAACGAACCATAATTGTGACACGCCTAAAAACTAAAAGGTCAACAAATAAGGACTATTTTAAAAAAATCTTCCATACTCAACAACAACACATAACATTGTTCCAATAAAATAGTTTCGTAAAAATACATGCATCTATATACAGGGAGTCTCAGAAATAACACACCAGGCTGAGTAGATTGACTTCAGATCAATCAGATAAAATCAACATGACGTTAGTAAAAGTTTTCGAGTTTTCGAGATTTTGCCACTCTTAAGTTTTTTCAAAATATCACTACTTTTTGCTCGTTTTTGCCTGCTATGGCCGTAAAGAACGTCTAGCTTATGATTTTTTCCTGGTCCACGATGAATAGTATTCATTTCATTGAAAATATGACATAATGCTACCGACCGAACAGTGAATGTGAGAGCGAGATAGTCAACAACATGTTTAGGTCGTTTAATTTCTCAGTGATTTTGTCACAAAAAACGGCTGCACTTATTTTTTATTTGTAGTATTATGCAAATATTACGACTTCAATGACAAAGCTTGGAATTATTCAATTTTTAGTAGAATGAACCTTCAAATATTATACTATTTTTAAAAAAGCATTAAATAGGCTTGTTTTTAAGATAATTTGCCGATTTAGTCTGTTACATTTTTTTCACCGTAATTAGTCAAACATAAGTGAAACTTTTTACATTGAAATAATAATATAGTTGTTTTTATACGGGTGTTTCAGTTTATTGTTGCATAACTTTAAGATTCGATAGAACTTTTAAAATTAATGCATAAGGCTTCCGAAATACAGGGTGTTTAAATTTACTTTTTAAAATAGTTTTTTTTTAAATATTTCGAACAATATTTGATGTATAACAGTGAAAATTGGGTTTTTTGGTACGACAAAACGAACCATAGTTTTAGTGTAGCCGCTAGAGGGCGCTCTCTACTGTATCTGTAATGTATTAAAATGACCGAAAATTTTTTCTTAGTGCAATTTTTTACTTTTTGAATAAAAAAACTGATTCTTCGCACTTTTCTGCATAAAAAAGCTCTCCTGTGAGTTTTCGTTATAGTTAGCCGTTTTTGAGATATTTCGAGTTTTAAGGTTCGATGCATTTTTAATTATTTATGGGAAAATAATATTTTTTTCTACATTTTCGATTTGGGCATTACAAGTAATTAAGATGATCGTTTAGATTGTGTTTTTAAACACTGCAATAATTCCTAACTCCAAATAAACACAAAAAAAAAACAGAATATTAATTTTTTAATTTTCCAATATTATTTTTAACAAATTAAATTAATTATTTACAACTAAAATGCTATTGGATAGTTAGGACAAACATACAGAATCTAAAGTAGTTGCTCGAAATGTAAACACAATTGTTCAATACACAATTCACATCTACGAATGATCGAACGTGGTATAGCATTATTC